AGGCTGAGAATTTAATACTGTGGACATAGGCCACTCTGTGCCTGTTGGTCTCGGTGCCAAAGGAACATTTCCTGTCCCATTTAATTTCCTAGCACAGACATAGCCGCTGTGTTACAGTCTGATCCCTGCTTTGTTCCTGTAGCTGTGCAACTGAGCATTGGTCTGTACTTAAAGTCTGTGGCAAACCAAAATGTAGTCTTTTGTGTCTATGTTACTCAACCCCACCCCTAAAACCTCTGTTTGTCTTTTTTGAACTGGATGCTATTCAGACAGCAACTATATTTGGAAAAGGCTGTGTATTCTGCAGATCCATTTAAATTAAGCAGTTATCCAAAAGTGAAAATCTGCTCTGTAAAGTAAATGGAAATTAAATGAGACTGACACAATGCCTAGATCTCGTGTTCGCATTGCTAGTGAGCAGATAGTTCCCACTAATTTGATTTTTCATCAGAAACAGGTACCATGAAGTGCAGGATTGAAACTCCTGGGGCTAGATGGTCCCAGATAGCAACATCTGTCAGGTATAATAAGGCAGAAAGCTTTATTCAATACAAAATTCTCTTTCTTCTTTTGACTCTTAATACAGCTCTCCCCTTGCTTCTCACTGAGCACATTTCCTTCTTTAGGGGGTCAGACAGCCTCAGTAGACTTTCGCAGCTGTTCTTTTCCGTTCTAATGTCTCTCAGATACACATTTCATTTATTTTCATCCTGAAGTGCTGCCTAAATATATTAGCATTTCAGTTTTTAGAAGCAGTGATCTGCAGCTACTGATACTGTTCTTATCTGACATCATCCCATCTTACCTGGTTAGTGGAAACATAAAATGTCCACTGGAGAAGAAGCATAGTTACTCCTTTAGGTACGTACTCCTTCCAGTGTATGAATTATCCTAAACCTTTCCATATGTAGCTTAATCTATGAAATACAAATGTCATAGAGTATCCTCAGGACAGGCAGAGTGGGCTGAGAAGCTAAAGGGGGAAAAGGAGCTAATCTGGCCCAGGAGCATTTGGAGGCAATTGGAAGAAGAAAGGACAGGGTGTGAAATTTGAGGGAGCTTGAGGGTGCAAGGGAGCAAATGGGGAATGTGAGGGAAGGCAGAGCCCATGGGACACAGGGGGGCAGCAGGGCCGTGTCCACCCGGGCGTTTGCAGATGAGCAGCAGTGGGTTAGGCACCTTCGGTGACACTGTCAGGGGGACCTCTGGCATGTGGCAGAAAGGCAGAGGCAGGGGAGAGGAGCCAGGAGGTCGGGGGGCAGCTGGGAGGAACCTGGCTGGTGTAAGGGAGGAGCTAAAGAGGCCAGGCCAGCGAGGAGAAGCGAGGAGGAGGCAAAGGAGGGAAGTTTATTAGATGACGGAACTAAAATGCGACATGGTCACTAAAGCCTACAACCTCCAAAGTATTTAGGAGTCTTGCGCTGAATTTAGGATCTCTGTCAGCATGTGAGCACCAACCCATTTCCCTACGGAGCAA